CTTTCCTTGTTTAAAACGAAAAAAAATATCAGGTCAAATCCTTTATTATGTCAAAACCAGCTCAACATAGAATTGCCAGAAATAATGAATGGCGGCGTGTTACTCAATGTCTTCCAAATAAGCTTTCAAAAAGAAATGGGACAGTGGAATAAAAATTCTGTATAAACTTGACTGTTGTATCCTAATCCAGTCTTAAAACTGATTATGAGGTGTACGTCAGCCAAAGTTCTAGCACTTTTCAAAGGAAAAAAAGGTTTATTATAGAATCAATTTTTTTTTTTACTTCATTCCATGTTTTTTGATTGGTAAGAATTTCATATGCAAACTGCAAGCAATGACACTTGATCACACACACACTCCGTAGATCATGAAAAGACTGAATGGAATACATTAATTGATGGACTTTTTTTGAGGGGGGCAGGGGGTTGAGGTCCATGAGGAAAAAGTCATTGCATAGTAAGTTTTAAGTTCAAGTTTAAACTCTGCAGACGGACAAGTAAAAAAAATGCAGAAAGAAATCAATACGTAATCAGTACTGCACTGAATGCTACTTTTTTTAAAACCATGCCATTTCCTTGATGAAATCTTGGGGAAGCATTATATATAATTGTAAACTTCACCATTATATATGGGGGTCTGTTTAAAACATATTCAAGTACATTTAATAGCATAATGTGTCACTCCTATGTTCTTTCAACTGAACACCTACAAGAAAATTACTGTGTGGTACAATGGGTGGTAGCCAAACCTAACAAGAAAGGCAGAAGTAAATTATAGATATCAATCTCTAGGGCATTATCTTACAGTGTGAAGAATTTGATAGTGGAAGTCTAGAGAATTGTCATGAAAGATTGTGACATCCCCCAGTAAACAGGCATACTGACACGGCAGTTAGGTCAAAACATATGTTTTACCTTGAAATGGTCTCAAAATGGACCAATAACTAGATATAATTGGTTGTTTATATCACTGTGACAGATGCACATTAAGGCCTGCACATTTGACTGTCTCTCTCTCACCTGGTAGACCGAGGCATACCTGAGATGACAGGTAAAATTAATGATTTCATATGACAGTACAGGCCCCAAGTTTATCACTGCTGACAAACCTATACTCTCCTGACCACTTCAAAGTGAAATATAATCATTTACCCAAAATAAAGAGATAGATACTAAACTGCAATAAAGGGAACAGTGTGTATCCCGCAGATCTCAAAACCCCCAGACACTGATAGGCAAAGTGAGTCTCAGGGACCCTCATCTTGTCTTTCTAGGGCTTTTTCTAGGGTCCTTATCTATAAAATATGATGGTGTTCAAACAGAACCCTGGGAGAATTCCAAATAAACAGGGTAAAAAAGGTAAAGAACAGTTATCTTTAAATTATCAAATGTCCCTCTTGTATGCATGCACCTGGAATTTTATTGACATACAGGTGTAAATACAAACAAAAAAAAGCATGCACTTTACATGTTGATCAATTCGAAACATATCACTGATTCATACAGCAAGAATTTTTGGTAGACAAGATTTCATATTGTGAAATTCAATTGACAGCAGGTTCGGAATGAGGATGGTCTATAATCAATGCACCTTTTAATGCATGGTCACAAACCCACTTTATTTTTTTTACAACTCTAGCATGTTTACATAAAACATATAGAACAGTACATTTTTTTAAAATTTCAATTATCTTAAACATCACCTTTCAAAATATTTTCTAAATAAACAAAGCTCAGGAGGACCAAAGGAAGAAATCCAATTGATGTACTTTTGGTAATTAGCAGACATAAAACCCTATTATTACTGTCTCTGGTTATAGCTCAACAATGGAATGTGGAGTCCCCTGTTATCTTAAGTTATCTTAACCTAAAAAGAATGTTAAATAAATAATTGAACAAAAAGCTGTTAAAACCCAGGCTTCATTCTGAAAGACTACCGGACTAAATTGACTAAAAGATGGATACACACGTCTCCAACACCTCGACAATCCGGCAAAACTGAATACCTCCTTCCGATAATTGTCAAATACAAAACGGTGAAGTTTTTTGTGCTTTCTTTCACTGCTTAAAACATGGTGTTTGATTTCAACAGGCCAAAACAATGAATACTGTAAACAAGTATTTGATTTTTATCAAAGCTCCAAACATGACATTTGACACTATTATATAATTTAACTTATGCACAAGTGAAATTTTGCATGCTGCTTGCATATGTGAGAGAGAATCCACTTTATCCAACCATGACAATAATGAAAACAATGAATATTCACCTGGCCCTACAAAACTAATTAAGAATCTTTGATAAAATATGTGCAATGACACTCAGGTGTATTTCTATTGTCAGGTGTTTTCTTTAACATTCCACTGTATAAATGTTAACATCTTCATGGTTTGGGGCAAGGATATTTTATCTGATGGGAAAGTACGAGTATCTCTCCATTAAAAACAATTATATACTGTGAACATTTGAACTGCAATCAAATAAAAACTGCTTCGGGATATTTAGTCTAGAAACAAAACAGCACACACCTGATGAACAGGTACTTACAATGTTAATCTCTAAATATTTGTTACCTTTATATGTAATGGTTGTACATACATTTATTTGACATGTAATGACCACAGACTGGTCAATATTAAGATGAATGGTCGTACAAATCAAATCACTGTCTATTTCAACATTACACATAGTGTTAATTTGGGTTAGAAAAGTTTAAAAGCAAATAAAACTCTCCTCTTTTTTTATCCCCTTGCAACAGATAAGGAAGGGATATAGTTATGCACTTATATGTGTGGGGTGGGAGTGAGGGGAGAGAGGAGGGGGAGTTTGTTCTTTGCATGTGCAAAACAGAAGTGACAAAATTTGCATTGGGATCAATGTCTAATGCTGGCTTGATTTAGATATGCTCTTTGTGAGGGGATCGATGCTCTGCTGTTTTAACGGTTTTTTTTTTTTGACAAATATCTTACAGTTATTTATCTCATAAAAATAAATCTATATTGACAGAAAATCTTGTGCAACAATTATGATATGTTGTTTTATACTAGTTGTTTGTTATGACATTGACCTTTACTGTGACCTTGACCTTCAATGAGTGAAGAAATTGACTGTCATAAGTACAAAATTATACAGGTAATTTAATGATGTTTGACATTTGATAGATAGTTTGTGACATAAAATGTTTTTATTAAGTTTTTTAAAATAATGATTCTTCAAAGACAGACTAGCTAACATTTATTAATTGAAATAAGTATTGACTTAATAATTGACATATATATTGCTCTACTGGGAGCAAAGAGGATAGTTAAGGTCATAATACAGTAACTTACTATATTCGCTATTATGCTCCTTTATGAAAGAGCTAAGTGTTAAGTTACTGTTTAGTAAAGGGGCAATTCCACCTGACATACCGTATAATTACAAACTTTTTAAATCTTACTTTAAATCTAATTCTATGTAATAAGCAATTCAGAATAATTTCTCAACAAGCGTGCAAAGATTTTAACATTGTTTGTGCACAAATGATATATTCATACTATAGCTGCCTAAAATATTTGCACAAGATATTTACATTCACTTCTGAAATTCACAATGTCTTGCAGCGAGTGGCTAGTGGGGGGTGAAATCTTTTATAGAAATATTTCACTGTTCAACAGACAAGCGGACACTAATGGAATGCCCTGTCCTTCTTCCGAACTATCACCTTTTCAAGATCATACCAATAATCTACATGATCCCTCTTTATTGAAATTCAAAAGTTTACAACCATGACCAGCTTAAATCAGTTTTTCCAAAGGTCCATTTCTATTGACCTAACTTGGATATCCAAACAATGCTGTATATGAATGCCAGAATATTAGTTGTCCATATCTAAACATTCCCTAAGCCTGATTTCAATGGGAGAGCTTGCATATCTTAATGTTAAATAACTAAAAGTAATATTAAAATGGATTAAAATGAAATTGTTGACATTGTTCACTGTACAATAGGGGCCATAATGGTGTGGCTGGCTTCTTGACATGAAAGGAACACTGTAAATAACTTGTAGCTTGATTTCTTTTTTAAACAGCAGGGCAGAGGGTCAATTTTACATTCTATCACTGTTTTTCAATAGATTTCATTAATGTACATTAAAAAAAATGAGCAATAAAACATCCTGTAGACCATATCTCTATTGACAGTTGTCTATGAAAAGCCATTGAATTTTCCTTCAAACTCCTTTAAACATAATAAAGGAATGCATGCAGAGAAAAGACTATCATGGGTTAAATTTTAAAGTAGGAAATAAAATGCGCAATGTATCTTTTGAGAAGTCCTGTGGATTTTTTGGTCTCTATGAATAAACAAAAATATTATCTTCATAAATATTATTACATGGGGATACTCAAATGAAATGTGTCCTTATTCATCTATTAGAAATGACGTAGTTGTATGCCATTATCATGATTATGAGGACTAGATATCATTCAATTTTTGTATTGCTCCAAGGGTATATATACACAACAATTTTCCAACCTGCTTTGAGAATATGGGTACATTAAGTACATAGAACATGTGTAATTGTTTGTATATTTTACTCTATATATGGACATGAAAAACCTTTCAATTCAGTTTTTGTTCCAATGAAACAAAGTGACAGATGTTAGAAATATCAATAATGAAATTATGCCACATATTGCTTAACATTAATCATATTAATTGAGTCTTATATTCAACAAACAATTGATCTAATTTAATTCTTATTATTAAAATAACCTTAAAGCCCAGTACAAGCTGATGATTTAAACAATAATGTGAACTGTTCAAGTTAATAAAATAAACAGCATGCATTGATAACTAATGAATAAGTGAAAAAGAAAAATGAATAACTCATAATTAAATTTAATTTGTTTAACACTAACAGACTTTCAGCAAATTCTGTTCCATAATTTCCCAATATGGTAGTGCATGTAATCATGAAGATCAACAAGGAATAAATATAAATATTTTTGGTGACTTACTTGAGGTAATATATTCTGCCCTGCTCTGCTGCCAGGCGAGCCTCCCATCCCTCAGGCAGTGCAGCATTGAGGCGCTGGAGGTGATTACTGTGCACCTCAGTCATGGTTGAGGTTCTACATCACCTCCCAACTCCTGGCCTAAAGAGGTAACTCCACATGTAGATGGGAATCTGTGCCACTTATAATCCAAGACAAATCACAGAAAATTCCTAAATATATATATCCCTAAGAATTCCTGTTCTTGTTGAAAATATGCTGAAATCATTAAAAAAAAATAATGGTATCAAAGATCGGTCATAATATATAAATTATTTAGGTATGTATTGTAAGATTGTCTTGAATATTTTCTGATTGCTCTGAATAAAGTTTTACTAGATAACTTATTGTTAAACTCTTGTGTCATCATGTCAACTAGCTATACCAACTCATGCAAACATTAATTGTTAAATAATTTCTGCTGTCTTCTTTGGGGATGGGGGGGGGGGGGAGAGAGAGAGAGAGTTGGAAGGGGAGGACACCCTGCCCAATCTGTCAAAGATGAAATTAACTTTGGGTCATCTGTTCACTGATCAGATTTCATACCCTCTAATTGAAGAATTACAATTTTATGTCCCATTAATGTCCTTTCAATTAATTATATGCTTATATATGGCTATTCAGTAGAAATTCGAAATACTGACATTTTAGAAGCAAACTAATAACATTGCAGTTCATAAATAGAAATACAAAATTTCATCAATTTCATCATTTAATGAATTAAATGTGCTCATTATCAATAGACATAATTATAATTTTTGGGCAGAATTTTTGGATCAATAGAATTGAACTCATATACATTTCAAATATTTATTTATTATGCATTCATGTGCGTTTTTCTTATCTAAATTATCTTGAGAACAGGTCAATTCCAAGGGTTTTATATCTCCATTAACAATTTTAAAAATTTCAAAAATTGCAAAAATTATTGACTATTACATACACAATTTGAGAAATAATAGAACTATCATTACCGTTTTACATGACTATATAATACTGCTATATATCTGAACATTCCAAGAACTAGGTATCAAAACTTCAAATGTGTATGAAGTTATTCATTGGAGTACGACGCTGTACACACTGCTGGTAAAGTGCGAATCGAGAAAATCTTGGTTTCGGACACCAGCTACTATTGGCTCCTGTGAAATATCTAGTTAAATACATGTTTTTTGATATAAAACAATAAAATCACTTTCTAGAAAGCAAATTTATTAAAATGTTAAGCGGTTGGATTGCTTTAATACCCCAAAATGCTCAATATCGAAACATTACATGTAAGTGGCTGTTTACGTCGTGTTTTTCATGTACTCTCATTCGAATGATGCATTAAGTGCTACAGGACTGATTGGACAGTTAAGAGGGTAAATTTAACTTTGATTCAGCGTTATTTAATGCCGTGAACACAGACAATTTGTTTTAAATTAATTATTTTCATGGAATTAGTCAATTACTAGCAAATTCATTTTGTAGGTGCTACAACTGGTTTCTGTAAAATTTTGACCCAGGCGACTTTTTATTTGTGTAAATGCGACAACTGGTTTATGTCTCTGAGACTGTTGGTTTATGTTACTTAAAGTAAATATTATGAAATTATTCAAAATTGCATGAAAAGAATAATAGTTTTTGTAGTTTATAGTCATCTCTGACCATTTCTTGCAGCAATAGGAAATGTTCCATCAATTCTTGTTACGGATATTGTGTTTTTTTGTTATATTCTTTTGTTACTTTTAAATGGAATGATATGGTATAAATGAGCAAGATAATGACACCAAATAATTTAGAACTGCACCAGGTATACATATACGAATGTCGTGATGAAGCGATCAAACTTTTTGAAGCAGTAAACGAATGCATAATGGTAATATTTTTCCTTGCAATTTATATTTATTCAAAGCATGATGTTTGCATCCTTAGAACTGTGTTGCATGTAGTCTACATTTATCCAGTTACATCTCAGGCACGAAGTATGCAAGTTGGGGTGTACTTTATTTTCTGAAAATAGTCTTTTGGCTTAGTTTTGATTCATGTTTATAATTTTTCATGTAGACATGCCCCCCAACTTTTTTGTAACCGTAAGGTAGCTGCATTTCTGTAACTCGCTGGTCTGAGAAAAAAAATGAGATAGACTACTGAAGTGCTACAGTGCCACCCAAACAAAAATCTGTTAAAAAATTGCGCCCAAAAGCTGCGATTGATACTTGATTAATTCCTCCAAATTCTTATCTCAACTGCACAAAAGCTAAAAAAAAAAAATCATGACCTCTAGAATTCTTCACGAAGTGTGTTGCAATTGATACGATTTGTCTCTTCTCATCTGCAGAAAAAAGCGAAATTGGCTGGTCTCAATTTCATGGAGGGTTATTTACAACAGTTATTTGTTGTGGAAATAGTAAGTGGAAAAACAGTTAGAAATATTTTTTAGAATATGACAGTTTGAATCCGAGAAGCAGCACACTTTCATGCACAATAAATACCGGTATACATTTTTTCCAGCTCTCCCGTCTTCGGACAGATACAGTTCTGCAGCTAACCGTAAGATTTGCAAACCCAGCCGTTGTCATCTTCGCTGGCCAAGGGTTTCTAATACGCTACTCTCCTCAGTTTATGCGGAAAGTAGCGTATGAGAAACCCTTCGATAGCAAAGATGGCCGTTGTGGAAAAATGGAATAGTTAGAGAAAGGTCCCCAACACAGGATAAAATAGGACTGTTCTTCCTAGCTGCAGAACGGAAGCGTTATGGTTTTCTATTTAAGTCTTTATATAGTCAAAGATGAAAACATGAAACCATAAGTTAACACTACAGTTCTGGAGCTGTGTTCTCCCGAGATTGGACATTTTTTGTTGGGTTGTCAATCACCTGCGGCCCTTATCCTTCCTACATATACATTGAAAAATAATATCACGGGTCTGTATGTTTAATAAATAGACCGGTGTCTTTATGTCATTCAAATATGAGAATATTTTGTTGAGATATTAAAATATTCCATACAAGTTAATTATCTGAAATACTTAATGCCATCTTTCCAAGTCAAAGGATAAAACTATCCATGGAGGAGATGTAAAAGTAAAACACTCTTACATGTATCAACGTCTATTCCCTTCAAATACATGAAGGGTCATGACTCCCATTCTTATTAAAGAGAGGTCAATCTTTTTTCCTTGGGGGGTATGGGGTTCCAAGGTCTTTTTTGTTTCTTCTGCATGCATAGAAAGTTTGTAACTTTGAAGTTCTAGATAGTCAATCGAAGATGACTTGAATACAACTTTTGGATTAGAGCCTTAATGAACATAAATACTCCAGTAACATATTTTTAGTAAAGCAAGTTCATGATTTTTAAGAATGTTATCCAATATAAACTAACCAGAGTGAATTTTGCATTTTTCAATCCTTTATTTTTTTTCACAATTTATGTTGGGGGGGGGGGGGGGGGGTTATATATGCGATGCATTTTAAATATTTAATAGAAGCAACCAATCCTCGAATTGGAGGTATATATTTGGGGGGTTATTCAAGAAATTTGCACTATCTGATGTGTCGATATTGAATTTAAACGTATTTCTCGGATAACAATAAATTTATGATACAGCAGTAAAACGTCGCACCTCTTGAAACAGAACAGAAGCCAGTCGTAGCAACTACACGTGTCAAGAGTCGCACATACAGCAACCATATTCGCAATGTTATCAGAAAACTTTATATTACATCAAAAGTTTTAATCTTGTGAAACATAAAAGAAACAGGAAATCATAAATGATTCATATAGTATATACTCATATCACTTTTAACACAAATAACGTAGCGTTAATCGAGTTTAACACGTTAAAAGCAAATATGAATAATCTAGTAAAATACATTGAACGGGTGTAATCTAAAGCAGTTCCTGGATTGCTCCTTATTTGTATTCAACCAACAAGCAATGCTACTGCATGAAACCATACTGTATATTAATAATTACGTCATAATCAAATGTTCTATCATTTCTGATAGTTAAGTTGACATAAACTGCCTCAATGATGTAAACCAATAGTAGCTGGTGTCCGAAACCAAGATTTTCTCGATTCGCACTTTACCAGCAGTGGTACATGTTAAAAAGAAATCAGGTGAAATTAAACTTTCAAAATTAAAGAGACAGCAGAAATAACTTTAAAAACTTACTTTTTACATAACTGCTGATATATCTGTACACTTTCGTCGCATTTCAATTGATCAAACACTCTGCAGTGGACAAGTAATTGGCAGTTGTCTCATACACCTTGCCTCTATGTTGACAACTTGAATGAAGTCGTGTGTGAACGAGCACCTTACCGTGACGTCACAATCACGTGATTTGGCGAGATATTATGGACACCGGAAAATAAGTATGCAATTATGATTTTTGTATATAAGGCTTGATTATCAAGTATTTAAGGCAATTAAGACATTTAATTAGTGGATCCTGCGTCTTTTACACGAATTCTTTTATTTTTATAGGATAGCTAAATGAGAAACGGGATGTAAATACGTTCATCGAGGCATCTCGACCCATCAACTGACAGCTCACTCAGCAGTCTAGACGAACTCCAAAAACGGCGTTACCGGAAGTGAGAATTTCAGTCCAGAAAAGACTCCAAAAAACGAGTCCAACGCATGCGCAGTTATATAAAAAAACGGTGAAAAATCGTGAAAAGTGGGCTCTTATAAAAAGTGTTTTTGCAAAAAATTGGATTACCTTACAATAATGTAAGTACTCAGAAATGATTAATAATAAATGGTTTTAGAGAACGTATTTGTTAGAATTTTGATTTCATGTGCAAATAGTTTTTAATTTCAAGTCAAAGTTGACCAACTTCGAGGTTCAGCCAGACATCGTACAAGTAGGATACAAAATACAAATTAAACAGTCGTAATCTTATGAAAACATCTCTGTGGTTGATAATTTGTTTGTAGTGACTAAGTTAGTCATTTTAGAACTACTTTTACTGAATTTAGAAGTTTTTTTTTGTAAGTAAGGAACGCTAGCGAATTTTCAGTTCGAATTTCCTCTGTCTTTCATGTCTATCGTGTACGAATGAATTTCAGGATGTTTAGATCAGCAATGAGCAACTGCATTGTAAATACATCTTACCAATAATTAAAAAAGTACTGAATTGATGGTTTTAATCATAAATAAGAGTCGATCAGGTGACAGTTACATGAGAATCCAATCAGTTTCCACATTTCCTCCGAGGCTTTTTTGAAGAAAGTTCACGTTTCAAGTTAGATCAAATACAAAGAAAAATAAACGTTTGGGAATTAAATATATAATAAAAGGGAAAAATATGTAAAATTGAACATGTAATATATATGTTGTAACTGTTAAACATTGACCGAATTTTTACCTATTTGTAATATTATTTCGTCATATAATCCTGTATGACATCTGAATATTGAGAGCGTTAGTTATCACCATCGCTATATATATACCTAATGTTTTCACATATGAATAGATATAATCATGAAAACATTTTTAGAATTATAATCTATGAGTTTAAGAACTTAAAAAAATCATTCTTTTAAAATTACGGTAAAAAAGTCTTCTCAAATCGAACCTGTTAATATCTCTGCTCCGCCGCCAAAATTGTGCGGTTTTTCATTAAAAAAAAAACGATATATATAAGTGTCTTAGAAGTAAAATTTAAGCATCTTTACAGTAGGAATTATGGCATAAAATTTAAATCAAGGGGACAAGTTAGAAAATTTATTCTTACCGACTTTATTGAATCCCGGTGTCGTACGTATATCTCAAATCACTATTTTGCAAGAGTACAGAGTGATAAATAAGTCAATAACCACTAAATAATTTAATGGGTACAATTATTTATTCAACAAAAATTGAAATCCAGTCACAGTTTACTAAATACAGCCATTATTCAGTCGTATTTGTGGAGAAAGCGAACGACAATCCATCGTTTGTTTACATCGGAAGCCATTTTGCCGCAATGCATGACGGAGCCAAAGACTTCTTTTTTGGAGTTCACGCCGTTTTTGGAGTTCGTCTAGACTGCTCAGTCACTGTTTACATTGTCCAGTATCCACTAGTAGCCAGTTCGCCGATCATCTACAGTAATCCCAATGACGGACATTAATCGAGACAGTTTGTACAGTATACCGCTGTCAAGTGATAGTGACAATGGTACGTCTCCAAAAATAAAGTAGCTTTGACCCCCCCCCCCAATACTATCCCACTCACTTAATTTACTGTGCATGTATTTTCCATACAGCCTGGGATTAATCTAGGTCTGAAGAAATTGGTGAAATCAGCTGAGGGTGACTGGGTCTCGATACCAGTACAAATCCCCAGAGGTTGCAGGAAAAGTGGGGTTGGGTGGGGGGAAATGATTTCAGCTTTTTATGATGACCATTTAGCATATTGAGTGCATAAAATAGTGGAGTAAACCGTTTTTCACATCTGATAATTTTGATAATTATTGTGTAAATATCCAGGTTTATAAAGGAAGAAAATATTTGAGCTTTTCGGAATTGTAAGGGGAAGTTTCCTCAAAGGGGGGGGGGATATTCAAGGGATATTTTCTCTTTGGGAAATAAATATACTTTAGATTAATCCCTGAGAACTGCACCTTTTAAACTTTAAAACTAAAATATTGGACAGGAGGTATTTTGTTTTATATTTTGACATCTGTGAATAGAAGCTTTCTTGTTTTCATGGCAGGTGAAGTCTCAAATAAAAATTTCCTCAACCAGACAGGACTGTCCATTGAAGGATACAACAGTAAGTTGCTGCTCATCACAACTCATTAAAAGTCAATCTAATAAAATCTGAAATATTTTTTGAGTCAAACAAATACTAATCAACTAACAGTAACCAGAGTGTTTCTCAAATGAGGACATTGGGTGAGGATTTAAGTAAGGGGGAAGTAACTTACATTTTGAAAAGATACACAGTGTAATACTGTGGGATCATCAATGTTTGATTTTTTTGTGGGTCACCTTCATCCACAAGTTTACATCCTTTATATGAACAATATTGTGAACATATTTATGCATTGAATTTCCTGTAGATACAGTTTCAATCCAACTAAAGCCAGACCTTTTTTTTACACTATTGCATACCTCTGTGTGATACATATGTAGCATAAACAGAGGTCTAGCTTTTGTCGGATTGATACAGTTTACCATTGAAATTTTGTTCACACAAACCAATAAAATTTTCCTTGCCCATGAACATTGCCCCTTTATGAATTATAACAATTCCACAGTCAATTTCGTTGAATACATTGGTCTGTAAAATGTCCTTAAAGAAATTTGTACATTCAGAGAATAATTTCATTGTTTTCTTAACTGGACTTTGTATTACATATGCAGGTTTAGATCCTGATGCTAATCCAGATGAGCTGGAAGAAAAACAAAGACTGATAAATCAAGTCATGGAACTGCAGAACACCCTTGATGGTATGAGATGGACAGTGTTGTATGAATATGTCTTTAAAAAAAGATATCATTTTTTGAGAGCTTCTAATATTTATAGTCATTGCATTGAAGTTCAGAAGTGTGGCAATGTGTCTAAGGTGGTCCGACTCAAAATATAGTTTTATCAACAACAAGACTTTTTAATTGCAAGCATTGGTGTACTTGTGTATGATTTACTAATTAAAATTGTTTATCATCAGACCTAGTTGCTTAGGTCAGCGCTATGATAAGAGATTGAATTTAACATTCTTTATATTCATTGATTAGACAGAGAAATGTGCCTCAGGTGTGTATTGTAGCAAATGAACAGCTTCTTTAATCAAGCTTTATATTTCCACCGTAGATCTGTCCTCAAGGGTTGACTCGGTAAAGGAAGAAAATCTGAAGCTGAAATCTGAGAACCAAGTTTTAGGACAATACATAGAGAACTTAATGACAGCAAGCAGCGTTTTCCAGTCTACTGATGCAAAGTCAAAGAAAAAGTAGGATACTTTCTACACCCATTTCATTACATTACTTGCTTTATCTGAAAATAATTATTGCAAGAATGGTTAAGAGATTTGATATTATAAAATTTACAAATTGAATTTTTAGCTCACCTGAGCCGAAAGCTCGAGCTTTTCTGATCACATTTTGTCCGGCGTCCGTCTGTCTGTCCGTCTGTCGGTCCGTCTGTCTGTCTGTAAACTTTTCACATTTTTGACTTCTTCTCAAGAACCGCTGGGCCAATTTCAACCAAACTTGCCACAAAGCATCCTTGAGTGAAGGGGATTTAAGTTTGTTCAAATGAAGGGCCACGCCCTCATTCCAGGGGAGATAATAAGGAATTAATAAAAATTTGGTGGCATGTTTTAAAAATCTTCTTCTCAAGAACCACTGTGCCAGGAAAGCTGAAACTTATGTGGAAGCATCCTTGGGTAGTGTAGATTCAAGTTTGTTCAAATCATGACCACCGGGGGTAGGGCGGGGCCAAAATGGCCGACCAAAGTTTTACATAGAAATATATAGGAAAATTCTTTAAAAATCTTCTTCTCAAGAATGACAAAGACAAAATTCATCATATTTATATGGAAGCATTCTCGGATAGTGTAGATTCAAGTTTGTTCAAATCATGACCCCCGGGGGTAGGGCGGGGCCAAAATGGCCGACCAAAGTTTTACATAGAAATATATAGGAAAATTCTTTAAAAATCTTCTCAAGAATGACAAAGCCATATTTCATCATATTTATATGGAAGCATCCCCAGGTAGTGTAGATTCAAGTTTGTTCAAATCATGACCCCCGGGGGTAGGGCGGGGCCAAAATGGCCGACCAAAGTTTTACATAGAAATATATAGGAAAATTCTTCAAAAATCTTCTTCTCAAGAATAGCAAATCCATGATTGGTCATGGGACTACTTTTGGATTTAAATTTTTCAATAATAAACCAATTTCTACTTTTCCTAGCCACAGTGCTCAGGTGAGCGATGTGGCCCATGGGCTTCTTGTATTTACTTGGCACTTTGAGAGGCAAAGAAATTAAATCCTTTCTTTGATTTTGAATATATAAGAATAAAATGTATTTTTCTAATACCGGTACTTTAATTTAGCCAATTATTGAATAATTTTGAGCAAGTTAGTTTGACAGTCTTATAGTACACTGGTGTTAAATATGCAACAACTTCAAATTTAAGTAAATTAATTCATAATTATGGTAACATGAATCAAGGTTTGACAATAAATGAAAATGTGATATACTGGCAAGTTGAGATAACTGCGATAAGTGATTGGACCTGAATATTCCATATTTTTTTCTAGGGGTGGGACGATACACAGATCTTGCGATACGATACGTATCTCGATATATTAGCACGATACGATACGTATCTCAATATTTTGATAAATTATAAAACTATTTTTAAAAAGTATTTTATTTCATTTTCTGTCTTGACATTAAATCAACTGTTACATGATGAATTTTAAAACTATGCAAAAGAATTAGTATTTTATTTTATTTTATTTTTTTTTGTCTTGACATTAAATCAACATTATTCTTAGACTATATAAAATCATGTGTGCTTTGAAATTAATACTTGAAGTTCATGAATTTCATTGACTAAAACTTTACAAAAACAATAATACATGTACATATTTTTGTTACCAAATTTCTGTAAACAAGTTGTCTACAAACAGCTGTGTAGTTCATCAAAGAACACTGATTAAAATTTCATATAAAAAAAAACAGCACATTTACATTATAATCAATTGCTGAAAGCCTGTAGCCTAGTTGAGATTACAAAAAAGCACGAGATGGAGTAACCTAACAATTACATTTCTTTCTGTGTATAGCACGCTTTACATACTGAACTTTTCTTGTCCAATCTTCCGAGGCTGCTTAAAAGTGAAAACGTTTTACCCCTAATCAACGACTTATTAGTTCTACACTATGTTTTCAATATCATCAGCGTCTCTTTGCTTCGTACAAGCCGCCATTTTCCAAGGACAGGTACTTTCATTTTCAATTTTTGATAGGTCGTTCGTGTATCGTTTCGTACCGATATTTGAATGCTTGTATCTTAAACCGTATCTTAGAGGAAAATATCGATATGTATCGGTGTATCAGTATATCGTCCCACCCCTATTTTTTTCCCCTCTCAATCTTTTAAATTTTTTAAGGTCCCTTGAACATTGCAAAATCTAATGTCACCTGTACTAAGAATTCAACATCTCTATACATAATATGACCACTTTTATATGAATAATCACAATAGATGAAAATGACTAACTTACAATGTGCATTTGACCTTACCAAATAAATTGTGCTTTGTATATACATGATTAATATTTGTAGATCCGGAAAGAAGAAACCAGGGAAGTAGATGTGCAATATAGAACTAATAACAAAGAAAATGTACTGTCAAGGAAGTGATCAGTTCATTGCCTAGGCCATAATATTGAGGGATTACAAAATGGATAAAGAAAACCTTTTAAAACCTAATCACAATTAAATCCTACAAATTTTTCCTTGTCTATCATACAGTTTTATCTGCTTATTCATATTTTTTGTTACTGTCTTCCTTCATAAGAAATCCATTATGACTACAAAGAAAGGTTGTCTGGCATTATACATTATTTGACATTATTTTGCTTTTGCAATAACCCTTTGTTTATATAGAGTTTTATGATTTGTTTATTTTAATATTGTTACACTGCCTTAATGTTCATATGATATTATGTTAGTTATATGCTTTGTGTCAATGATATGTAAAATTAATAAATTATGTAATACATGTATGTATATGATGTGTAAAGAAATCAAATATTCAAACAGCGATATATGAAAATGATTATTATGAATTTAAATATAAATAATTGATGATAGATGTCATTGTGGGAGGAAATTGATTGATTGATTGTAAGTTGTTTTACATCCCATTCAAGAATTTTTTACTCAAATAGAGACGTTACTATATGCTGGTGAAGGGTTTCAAATTTTGAAACTCATCACTCAGGGCCGTTGATCAGTGAGGGATCTCTATTGTGCCAATGCCTGCTGTGACACGGGACCTTGAATTTAAGGTCTCTTCCAAAGGACTCGCAATTTTCACTTCAAAGTGTCGAGTGCTTGGTGAAGGAACAGTTGCTACCTATTTTTTATTAACATAGGTCATTTCACTGTAGTGGGTGAGATTTTAACTTAGTACTTTCTGATCACAAAGCGAGAGCTTTTACGACTAGGCTACTGTGATGGCATTGGGAGAAATGTTTTAAAATTAGAGAATAAATATTATTTCATTTGGTAATTGCTGATTTAGAAGGTCACACACTGAGTTTTACCTTCTCTGGTAAAACAGATGGTTGTGACCTTTAATTAAATCAGCATTAACACCAAATACCAAATGAGAAATGAGTTTTTCCCATTCTATTTCAGTTCATGCACACTGCTTGATATTTACATCTTTATTATTTGAAATACATCATGAAGTGTTGGGTTTTTACATCGCTCTATTTTGACGTCACAATCAAAAACTTTCACTGTTGTTTATGCTTGTTTTACTGCTTCAAACATAGTTGCATTAACGAGTCCAAATGCATTTGACAAAACAGTTGGATTAGAATGCTTTTTGTTACACAGGATACAAACTGACTTCCTAAGCACACATCTCTTTGGTTAAGCTTGACAAAGTCGGGTAGCTTGTACTATACTATTTGGCACCCTTCGTTTTTGGGCAGTTTTGTTTCAAAATTCTTGGTATCTGTATGCTCTATATCCGAGTTACTCCCAAGTCATTATAAATCCTACCCAGATTAAAATTTAAGGACTACAGTTTAACTCCCATATCTTGAACTCCAATATCTTAAATATCATGGATATGTTGAAGTGAGTTTAAATTTCCAACCAAGTTTTCTTTTTGTATATCTCATTGATATCTCAAATCCAGGCTCTCGGGCCATAAAAATGAGATGAGCTCACTTTTGATCTAAGTCTCACTTTACCACTATTTATCCCTTTTGAAAATGTAAGACTGAGATCAAAATAGAGCTTGTCTCAGTTTTATGGCACATAACCTGGATTTTCACTTTTTATTCTGGTCTCACTGTCTCACCTGAGCTGAAAGCTCAAGTGAGCTTTTCTGATCACATTTTGTCCGGTGTCCGTCCGTCTGTCTGTAAACTTTTCACATTTTTGACTTCTGCTCTAAAACCACTGGGCTAATAATTCAACCAAACTTGGCACAAAATATCCTTGGGTGAAGGAGATTCAAGTTTATTCAAATGAAGGGCCATGCCCTTATTCAAGGGGAAATAATTCAGAAATAGTGAAAATTTGGTGGTACATTTAAAAATCTTCTCAAGAACCACTGTGCCAGGAAAGATGAAACTTATAGGAAAGCATTCTTAGGTAGTGTAGATTCAAGTTTGTTCAATTCATGACCCCCGGGGATAGGGCGGGGCCACAATGGCTGGTCAAATTTTTACATAGAAATATTTAGGGAAATTCTTTAAAATCTTCTTCTCGAGGATAGCGAAGGCATGAATGATCATATTCATATGGAAGCATCCTCAGGGTGTAGATTCAAGTTTGTTCAAATCATGACCCCCGGGGGTAGAGCGGGGCCACAATGGCCCGTCAAAGTTTTACATAGAAATATATAGGGAAATTCTTTTAAAAATCTTCTCAAGAATAGCAAATCCATGATTAGTCATATTTATATGGAAGCATCCTCAGGTAGTGTAGATTTAAGTTTGTTCAAATCATGACCCTGGAGGTAGGGTGGGGCCACAACAGGGAATCCAAGTTTTACATTGAAATATATAGAAAGATTCTTTAAAAATCTTCTTTTCAAGAATTGCGAAGCCATGATTAGTCATATTCATATGGAAGCATTCTCAGATAGTGTAGATTCAAATCTGTTCAAATCATGCCCCATGGGGTAGGGTGGGGTCACAACAGGGAATCCAAGTTTTACATTGAAATATATGGAAATACTCTTTAAAACTCTTCTTCTCAAGAATGGCAAAGCCATGATTAGTGATATGTATATGGAAGCATTCTCAGGTAGTGTAGATTTAAGTTTGTTCAAGTCATGACCCCTGGGGGTAGGGCAGGGCCACAATGTAAGTTCAAATGCAAAGGGCAATAAAGCCACAGGTAGTCAAGGAAATATGCAAGCATCCTTAGTGTAGATTCAAGTTTGTTCAGATCACACCCTCTCCCCTTTAAGGATTGGTTGGGACCACTATTGGGTTTAAGCTTTTCAATAATAAACTGATTTCTGTTTTTTTCCTAGCCACAGTGCTCAGATGAACAATGTGGGCGATGGGCCTCTTGTTATTGTTAAAATTACTAGATTGACTAAAACAATATACAAAACTCGTTTAGTACGAACACGGATATAGCAAATTTACGGATATAGCGAAGTCATCTTGGATCCCCAACTATATAAATTTAATGAATTTCTTATACGGGTATAATGAATTACGGATATAGCGAAGTAATTTCATAGGTCCCTGTGACTTCATTATAACCGAGTTTTACTGTATTCATTAACCTAATGAACTAATTTATGATACACAATATAAAACGGTGAAATAAATCGCGCAAGGTATATTAATAAGTTATCCCCCTTTAGTGAACAATACATTTGGGGATAAGATACAAGAAGTACATGCTCTAATAATTTATTCAGGAGTTTGAATGATTGATAAGGAAAATTTAGGTGTCTATACCTCAAGAATATTGCATTTTTAAAAGTGCAATGGACAGGATTTCAAAAGGATACTGACTTGTTGATGCAAATGCAGCGTCAGACAATTCAGACAATTTACAGTTTGCCTGATATTTCTACTAATTAACTGCTAATGGAATATTAAAGGCAGATTCACCCACAAAGAATTTTCTTACAGGTGTATTTGCAGAAATACTAATGTTTACATCATACAATTTCAACTCAAGTAAGGTTAAAATGTTGAGTAGGGCTGTCATTTGCTGCTAGATTCATTCTGATGTCATTAATTTATTTAAACTTTATTTTTCCTTACTATACGAGGGTTGATCCAAAAGTTCGTGGAATTTCTTCATATTTTATTTATTTTTAAGTGGAATTGGTTGAAAATTACAAATGAAAATATAGACACTTGATGAATTTTTTTAATTAAAAAAACTTTTTAGATATCTCTGATGGTAACTTTATGGCAGTTGCCATAGAAGCGGTTGTTTGGAAATGCGGGGGAGACATTAACATGTTTATTATCATTTTAATTCTTAATGTGTGAAATAAGAATTAAACTGCCCTATGTGGTATGTAAAACAAAACTACGTCATTATTACGATTGCTTGATCTTTTCTAGACCTTTGAGTGAGAAAGATTGGTAGTACATGTATTTTGAAATATGAGTAAAAAATGAAGATAAGTTGGTGCAAGAGGATACCCAGGCTTTTCTTAAGAAAAAAAATGGAGAAAAAAGGCAGCATTTTGTAGAATTACGTATTAAAACTGGAATTGGGCCAGATGCTTCTATAACGTGACGTGACATATCTAACTTGACGTTACGTCGAAGTCTCCCCCGGGTTTTCCAACTATCCATTTTCAGAAAGCTCGTGTGACCTTACTGGTAATTAGAATGAGGTGAAATTTTCCAATATTGTTGTATTATGACTGTATATTATGAATATGCCTGTTGATTGATTTTATCAAATCACATAAAATTTTAGAAAGAAATTCCACGAACTTTTGGATCAACCCTCGTATATACAAGTGAATAATGTAAATATTGTGAAGATTTTTGCGGCATTTAGTTTGAAATCGTGTCAAAAGTAATCCAAATACCTATATTTAAAGAAGATATGACAAGAAAATATAAGTGTTGATTTTTAGCTCTACTGATCAGAGACCAGAAGAGCTTATGCGATAGTAATGCGTCCGTCGTCCGTCCGTCTGTCTGTCTGTCTGTCCATCTGTCTGTAAACAATTTTTCAAAATGCTACTCCTCCTACAGTTTTGCTCTGATTTCAATATAACTTGGCACACAAGTAGATTATACTAAGATACATAATTCTGTGTATCGGTTTTTGATTTCGATAAACGGTGTTGCCATGGTAACTAAAAATAGAAATTGCTGTGAAATTCTTTCAAAATGCTACTTCTCCTACAGTTTTGGTCTGATTTCAATATAATTTGACACACAAGTAGACTACACTAAGATACATAATTCTGTATATCGGTTTTTGATTTCGATAAACGGTGTTGCCATGGTAACTAAAAATAGAAATTGCTGTGAAATTCTTTCAAAATGATCCTACTCCTCCTACAGTTTTGCTCTGATTTCAGAATAACTTGGCACACAAGTAGACTACACTAAGATACATAATTCTGTGTATCGATTTTTGATTGCGATAAACAGTGTTGTCGTGGTTACTAAAAAAAGAAATTTCTGTAAAATTGTTTCAAAATGCTACTCCTCCTACAGTTTTTGTCTGATTTCAGTATAATTTGGCATACAAGTAGACTGCACTAAGATACATATTTCTGTGTATCGATTTTTTTTTATTTCGAGGAACAGTGTTGCCGTGGTTACTAAAAATAGAAATTTCTGTGAAATTCTTTCAAAATGCTACTTCTCCTACAGTTTTGGTCTGATTTCAATATAACTTGGCACACAAGTAGACTACACTAAGATACATAATTATTTATATCGGTTTTTAATTTCGATAAACGGTGTTGTCATGGTTACTAAAAATAGAAATTTCATTAAAATGGTTTCAAAATGCTACTCCTCCTACAGTTTTGGTCTGAT